GCCAGAGGCTATTTTTTATCCCAAGAATAAATCTTAAAGTGGGTAAAATAGGGGACGAAAATTTGCAAGGAACGTTTGCACACTAACCTAGGGACTTAGAGTCCCTATTTGGCAACTTATTTAGAAGTTAAAAGGAGCGGCTAATTGGAGACCATGCCCACCCTTGATTCAGGGCCCTTTTAATCAGGTAGTGCAATTTCTGTTATAGATGGAACCTAGACGAAGAACAGAGGCTATTTTTTGTTACAAAAATAAATCTTAAAGAGGTTATCTTAAATAGGGGATGAAAGTTTTAATGGAAAATCAATAAAACTACGAAAATTATTATAGTATAATAGGTTACTAGATGTACTTATTCTACGTAGACGATGTCCCAGGCACAAGTATAGCGACAAACTATATATTTTATTTTAACATTTAAGCATATTTCCAAAAAAAAATACGTTGGTCCCATACATTTAGTACGGTTGGCCCCAATCTTTCACTCACCCGTAAGTAAGTGTTATTACGTAACTGATTAATTTGTGCACTATTATCAAAGTTTTGCTTTAAACCAAGTATGACATGAATTATTCATAAGTCCAATTAAGTATTTCGTGCGAATTTCCAAGGTGACTCTAAGTAAATGGGTGGGTGTGGCTGTTATTATACTTCAAATGTCGACGACGTGAGGTTTGTTACTTTTTGTTCTAATTGGTTTTCTTTTTACTTTAGAAACAACCACTCCGTTTATATAAAGACAGTCGTTTGTTTCAATTTTTTTTTTCATTTGTTGAGTTATTAAATGAACGCTTCAAAGAGGCATCTTTAAGCAAATAAAGTATAGTCGTTGTTCATGTTCTCAATAGCGATTTTTTTTTATTATACCAAGTGATGGGACGAACAAATCATGCGCTATTTTAAGCGACACGTCAGTCCATAGCAGTTGCAGTGCCATTTAGAGTTTTAAACCGCAAAAATCTGAGAGTCACTGCCACTTCGTCGGTCACCCTGAGACATAAGTTGACAAGTCCCATATACCTGTAATTTCACCAGCACCCTTACATTACCAAACCGGAACGCAGTAATGCTCACATTCCTGCTTCGCGGCAGAAATAAGTGTATGAATAAATGATGTTTTATTTATTTCTCAATCACAAAACAGGCTTAATAGTAAGGAACTTGAGGTTAATACAAGACTAAAAATTGGTCAGACTGTTTTGTGAGAGACTGGTGTCCGAGATAGATATAAACCTGAATTACGGGTCACCAGACTTCCACTCTGCATTTGAGCAATTTGGTTGTGGCACTGAAAATGTGACAAAGGATAAAATATATAAAAGTTAGTGGAATATTCCTGATTTAGAATAATAAAAGCACTAGTGAACTAAACTAAGTATTTAAAAAACCCTCTCAAGGTTTAACACTAAGTAAACTCACAATATGAAAAGTGTGAGAATGAGTGAGTGAGTGTTTATAAGGTGAATGTGTTACTGATTAGGTGTGTAAGAATTGTACGTATGTACGTAATAAGTAATGTGACAGTACTTCTCCGGACGAACTCTTTCACCAGCACCCTTCAAAACAAACAGGAACGCTGTAATGCTTGGCGGCATCGCTATGATTGGGTTTCACTATCATTTCAGAAATACGAGAGCACAATTTTCCTAATATATTATGTAGATGGTCTTAGATAGTCTTCGGGCATCTTTTTCCTACCTGTTGTGACTTGTTATAGACTAGTTGAAATGAAAAACTGCGTGTTATCTGAAGGTAGGGATGGATAAAATAAAAAAGGGGAAAGGATTAGTAACTTTATGAAAAACCCTTTCATGAGTATAGTTACATAAAATATTAGTTCTATTTATAAAAAAATTGTGTATCAAAAAAGGTCGTCTGTATTTCAACATTTTCGCTTTGCAGCGGACTATACGAAACTTGTACTGAATCCAAAATATTTTACTTGAATATATTTGAAGGGAAACCAATTAATCGAATCAATTTAACTAACTGCGCTGATCGTTAATATAGTAGATTAAATAATATATGATAGAGTGTAGTTTCTGAACGAATGACACTGACGTAACACCGAACTAAAGAGGCAGCCAAGTCATTGGCGAGGAGGTAACGGAGTGTTTTTGCTTTACAAGGTGGAATATTGTCTTATTTGTTTTGTAATACGCATATGAACGCATTGTGACGCAATAGCGTGTTTGTGAATTGTCAATTAAAGAACCTTGATGGGGTGTTGCATTGTAAATTTCATACAAACGCCCGTTTACTGGCGCTGCAGTACACAGCAACTCCAGATCCACCTGATGATTCACGTAATACGCAATTTAGTAGTAGTAGCGCTTTGTGAAACAGTTCGTCCGGCGATGTACTGCCACCAAGCAGTTCAGTGTCTGTAAAGAGTAAAGGTGCTAATTACGTAGGCCGCTGCCGGAGGACTCAAAAAAACCAAAATTTTACAAACTAATTTAATTAAAAATAAATGTAATTACAAATTAATTATCACTAAGAGCTAATTGACCCGACCGAGGTGTGTATCAAAGTGCCGGTGCGCGGCGTCACGTTGAGCTGGTGGACTTGGCACGAGGCGCTGCGTCTGCAGTTTACTCTATTGCATGATTTCTAGAATATTGGTGCCGTGTGCAATATAGTCTTGGTCTGCAAGTTGCCTTTAGGGTTGACACATAACATGCTGGTAAATATATTTATTTATTTATTTAGTTTGTTATAATTACATTTACAGTACAACTAAACATGTAAGTCATAGTCACATAAAGGTTGGGTTGATCACTGGCTGAAAGTAAGATGCGGAATGTAGACCACAGAGCCAATTTGGGCTGTGACTGTCTACAAATAGTAACCAGCAAATGTTACAAATTTTCATTCAGTGTTACTGAACACGTCAATATAATTTGTCCTACTTAAGGATTCGATTACGTTTAGGGCTTTGAAGAATGGTGTCCGTTTTAGTGTCATTGTGCGGGTTATATGAAAGTTGAACAGAGGGTGTTTGCGCTGACGATATATAACATAATAGTGTAATATAAATTATGTATTATATAATAGTGCTGATGAAATTATATAATTATTATAAGCGCGTGGAACTTGTCAACTTATGTATCAGGATAACGAGCGCAGTGGCAGTGCCCCTCGGATCTTTGCGTTTAAGTTTTTCCACCAGAGGTGTGCGAGGAAAACATCCACCAATAGGATTAGGTACTACATTTTCCTAGTGTCGCTTAGTGCAGCTCCGGTGGAAAAGGGTTAGCGGAGCTAAGTATTTGTACATACAAAAAATAGCGAGAGATGTGTACGAGGAATGCGTGCAAGGGATGCGGGCGAGGAATGTGTGCAAAACGGTGTAGGAAACTAGAGCTACTGAAAGTATGGCTCTAACTGACACTGACACATCGCCACCGCTCACCACATCACACCGAATCCCGCATAGCCGAAAAGAGCCCGTAACGCTTCCTCGCACCGCGCCGCTGCGCATACTCTCACCGTGTATCTACTTCGCACAGCTTTGGTGGAAAGCATCGTACCGTTTCACAGCGCCGCTATACATCCTCGCACCGCCTCGCTACCTCGCACATCTTTGATGGAAAGGCAGCCTTTAAGGTCTGGGTGGCACTGCACCTGCTATCGACACTTGGTATCATAAAAAAATACGCCATTATATATGTAATAGCGGTGTTTTTAAAGTAAACCGTAGGCAGCGCAGCGGCAGTTGGGAAGTATGAGAAAGGTTTTTTACCAGTGCAGTGTGATAGCTATAGTAAATTTAAAAAGGTTTATTATCTTTACAATCATCAGCCGAAAATTAATCGATTCATTTTTTTACATCCTGTATAATGTAAATGTTACGTATGATTAATTTACAGGGGATTATTCGATGTACCCCAAATGTCCGGGAGGATTAATGGTTAACACGCAGAATAAATTAATTGCGAACTTATTTTAATGAATGAAATAAATAATTTATTTTGTTGTTGTCTGTAAAAATTTCGTTAAATGTGTTTGCGTTTGTATTTATAATACACGATAATCAGCTTCGAACGTTTGATTTTCTTGCAACAGGAAGTGCCTGCAAACCTGTGTATTTTATAAATTATACTTATTATTAATAGGGTTTTGGCAATTGTATGTTAGTATATAAACACTAAAACACAATTGCCAAAAGGGCTTTTGAATAATATTCAGTTAGAGACTATTTGAGTAGACTATGTCCTCTCTTCGGATGTGGGATCTTGTTAATTACAAATAGACACATGTTATTGTCAATTTAATTAAGTGAGCTGTTTAATGAACTGCACGGGTTGCACTTGCGTTTAGTTTAGTTACTTGGAAAACGTAGACTGCTGGCGGTCAAAGTCAAATAATCATCAATGGTCAATAATCATCAATGGAATATACTTTGAATCATATTTTTGTGGAATCTAGACACATTTCGTTTTTCCATACATCTTTATCTAACATTTATTGTCAGGCCATACAGAAGCGGCCGCGGAAGCGTTCCGGGCGCGGGAATTTTTGTAATGTACATGTTCATGAACCCTGGCATACTCAAACGCGCGTCAGGTCTGTGTGGCCAGACAATTAGTCATGACTTTTTATGACGGTCCATCATCAGTCGGGTAACGGTCACGATTTTACAGCGAACAGCTGAATATTTTCCGAACGATAACGCTATTTTTATATAATAAACAGTTTAGGGTTTCATCTTCTTATTTCGAAGTCAGCTATAATGAAATATAGAGAAGAGAGCTGTAGTACTGTATTCTGGATTTAATGGGAAGGGAAGTCCGGCGCAGAAACAGATAGGAGAATACTTTTAGTATAATGAATGGCCAAAGGTGCCACTTACAATTAAAAGTACCAAGGTATAAAGCCTTTTCAGAGTTGTAAAATTTTCGAAGTTAACAAATGGCGCTGAGTTAGACGGTTAGTTGGGTCACGGAACATGAGTCTTATGTGGAATTAGTTCATTTGAGTCAAAATTTTGTCCGCAGCTACGATGGCCGAGCAAAAGCAACGTCTGCTCACTGGGCGGATGACATGCTAGCGGGCCGAGCGAGATGGCACTCAACGAATCCATCTGGCTTAAGAATACGAGACGTGGTCGCCAGCGACCGTGCTTTGTATCGGTGCCGAGTCGATTTCAAGATTTCTCCTACAAGGAATCATAAAATTGAGCTCGATGTTATTGGTAAGTAAAACACTCAAGTATATACTTTATCACTTATACAAAGAGTCGTCACCTCAAAGGAAACTAAGTCGTTTTATAAATTCATACGTTACTTTGCAGAAATTCATTTTAATAAAAATGGAAGTAAATTACCTTGATATTCCGCGAACCCAGTGAAGGTTAAATCGTTAAATACCCTGTGTTAATTTAATTCACCTGCATTAATTCACCTAGGCGCATTAAATACACGTTTAGTAAACTTGAATCACATCTCCTTGGCGATACGACATATTTCAAACTTTATCAGCATCTATTGCTGGACATGAGCATCTCCCAGAACACGCCAACTCTCTCGGCTCTGCCTTATAAAACGCATGATGCGAATTAAGCTTCATACTTGACATTGTATTTTAATTTCTTCAAGTATTACTTATTTGACAGTCATTGTTTCGGATATCGGACGTAGAACGGGAGTTGACTCCCTATGCCGTCCGCATGCAGGGTCAGGGCGTCCTACATTACGTTTGCCTTGACGTGGTCGCCACTCTAGAAAAAGTCTGCTCCATTAGTCATCAGTCCTTCTGCAGATATCTTCAGCTCACTGCAACTTAAACTTCCTGTTTTTTACGAGTTATGTCAGTCACTTTAGTTCTCAGAGAACATAAGAGACATGAGACATACATTCGAGTCGAATTTTGTGTTGAATATTTTTTCATGCAGTTAATTTTCCCGCCATCATTCTGCTTAAAATTAATAAAATAAATAACACGAACACAACCACAATCACTACCATAACGTGATATCTCGTAAAGAGGCAAAACACGTTCACTACACTGGATTCGCAAAGTAGCAAGGTAATTTACTCTCATTTTCATGATAAATTAAGTAAAAAAAACTCACTTTAATTCTTAGGTTAAAGTTATAAAAAATATCTCATTAGTGAAAATCGGTTTATTTATGTATATTTATTTATATATTGAAGAAAAAATATTACGAATTGTTTTTCGGTTCGTCTTGCTAGCCTTATTTTGTTACACAGTATATTATTGTTATAAAGACGGTACAATGGCAAACAAAAAAATTATTCTTAATCAAACAAATGTCACTTAAAGTCGTACAGATAAAAGAAAAAATATATACATATTTAATGTCTCGTTTACCTCGAGTGCAATTTTAAAAGATTACTATCAATACCGTATCGCTGTATCTACGAATTTAACGATATCGTAAATTTTATATTAAACATATACTGTTCAGGCGGTACAAGTGAACATATTCATCTCGGTAACGTGGCTGTTAAAGCAATATCGTTCAGCTAGGGATAGCAAACGTGCTACAATTGAATCGACAAATTTTTTTAACTCTAAATCACAATCATAAAGCTTAAATTTATTTTTAGTGTTATTTTTGTGTTATATTTATAACAACAATAGATATTTTGGAATAGCTTTTTAAAAAAATCATTGTAGTGAGTATTCTCACCATCTGATATTATTGTGTCTCTATTTGAAGTGCATCTTGTATACTATCTTTATAATTGTATTACTAGATCTATACTATCTTTATAATTGTATAATTTAGTGTTGGCATTACCTGTAGGAAGTGTCACCACTGAATTAGGATTGTAGTATTTACTGAAAGTCGAAATCATTTTACGTTACTGTGGTTAACTAAAAATTGTTGGTTATTAAGTCATTTTTTGTTAGCTTACTTACTTACTTGTGACGTGTAAACATTTGTGTTCTCCAGTAAATGAAAACAAAAATTGGAGAATTAGCATTACAGAAATTAATTTCATAAGCGATTCTATTCATTGTAATAATGAAATTTCCCTAAGAAATTGATTTTTTCCTACACAAAAACATTCTGAAAAAAAATATTTCTTAGAGTTATCCCATTACATTTCAAACGTTTTTGAACGGCCCGTAAGATATTTTCAGAACTTTTCCTTTATTTATTCAGCACGGCTCTTTGTTCAAAAGAACCAATCGCGCATTAAACGAATCAATCTACCGGATAGCTGCAACAAAGTTTGCACCTCCCTACCAGAACTGTTTTATTTAAAATTTATAGCTGACTATTTCGAATCCGCATCTGAATGCAAACTTCCATCGCGCTCGTCTGAACACCCCTTAAATATGCAGCTAACAATTTGTATTTTGCTATCGTACTTTAGAAAGTTTGTGTTGTTATTATTTCTGTATTATATTCATTATACTTTTTTGAAACCATGGTAGCCTAATGGTTTGACCTACCACCTCTGAGGCACGTGGGTTCGAATCTGGACTTACACATCCAACTTTTTAGAATTTTATGTGAGATATTTCTCATTTGTCCTATTGTGAAACCTACAATATTTTCTGTATTTTTCACAATTTCTAATAGTTGTGAACCTTCTTTAACATACAGGCTTCATAACGGTTCCAGTATAGTGTTTTGTAATTTCATAACAAGTAGAATCTTTGGGCTGTTATCAAGGCAAAATAAATTAGTTTGTTTTTCAATAGAAATAACTTATTTTGCAAGAACAATTATAATAGCGAGATATAATTTTTTTAATATCTATTATACAAAGCAAGTTAAACGTGTCTATTATGTTGTTAATTTGAAAAATGACAAAAACAGGAAGATGCTGTTTTTTTCCCAAAATTCTTTTTTAATTTTTTTTTATATCAATGCCTCTTGGAGCATGATAGATTAGGGACGTCTTTTGCAAGAAGTGGGGTTTGTCGAATTGACGAATAGACTGCAGATTTTTGTGCATGGTGGTGTTTGTCATCAGCTATAATAATTTCTTTGACGCGACTACAAATACTTCGCTTCATTTGTACAATATGTTTTATGTGAGTGGGTTAGCGCATGCGTGCGCGTGCGTGTGTGTGGCTCTGGGGCTTTGTGCTTTTCATGGCTATCCGCTATTAAACAACTTGTCGGTTACAAATGAAATTATGTCTTACAGTATAGCAGGATTCCCAATATACTTGTAACGCAGGGAACGTTTCTGTACTCTATATACCTAAAGATCTGTGGGCGCTCGACGACCCCAGGTTCAATTCCTGTTTCGACCAATTTTGGAAATTAACTTTTCTAAATGGTTCTGATCTGGAAGTTTATGGTAGTGCCCTATTGCTCTGGTACAGGGAATTCTCTAGTATGAGACTAGGTAATAGGTGTGATTACAGCTTATAGTCAAATTCCTTCAGTACATTATTCTTTTTCAAATACAATTATGGCATGACAAATCCTCATTAAGACTGAAAAAGAAATCTTTACAATGGTCACCAAAGATTACATTTTTTTGTAAACACAAAATAGTCGTATGAAACCCGAACATTGTGATGAATGCCATTGCATGTCGACTTCTAATAAACTAGGATTCAAAATCACTGCGTACACAATTTATATTTATGAACTGCCAAGTTTTATAGCTGTATTAAAAAATAGGAGTATGAAATGAGTGGATTTTGTCGAGTAGTAAGAGATATAAAGTGCTGATGTCATATCTATTATAAATTGAAAATGCTTCCCAATCTTTTCTGAAAATACTGTAAATAATTTCACGGGTTTAAATACCTATCGTTTAATAGATGGTATCATACAACTATTATCTTATTCTAACGGCTTATTTTGTTGAAGCTATGCACCCAAGGACTTTCCATCCAAAGTTGTAGCGTAAGTGCTACAATAACTTTTTGGCGTAAAATAACTTTTAAGCCAAATTTAACTTTAATGCAATCAATGAAAAGATACGTTCCAATTATGTTATCAAATTACAAACTCACCTTATTAATTTCAATAATAACATGACATATAATTTTAAATAAATAAAAATATGATTGAAAATTTGCCGATATTACAAAACAACGTATTAAGTATAATTAATAATAAATTTAATAAAAAAAATATAATTATTCTCATTTCTAACATAATTGGTTAATAGTGCTTGAACACTCCCAGGACAGTACACCTGTCTATTTCTTTCATATGATTTAGTATGTGGTTCCGTCTTGCTCTTGTTATATGTCAGCTAGCCAGACAGAGACATTAATTAACGTTTAAAAAATAAAACTCATCATCGTGTGATGCCATACCCGTTCAACTTTGTGTAGTTCATGATACGAATTTAAGCAATTCAGTTTTACCACGTCAAGTGAATTGCATGGAACTTGGCTGGCTGCTTATAAGCTCACAGTAGGCTTCCTGGCAACTTATTTTAAAAACTTTTCCTTTTCCATTACTATTCTTACGTTTCTTCGATCCGTCGTCGTCACTTCCATCAAAATTCTTGGAATGAGAGGACGTACCCATGAATCACAAACTACTTTCATTTCTTTATTGTTATACGTCACATCGATTATCACTAAAATTATATAGTTATGTAGGCTCTTTTGGGGTAACTATTGTGTACTGTGTTATTTAGACTTACAGGGAGTGATTTATAATAATTTGTTCCTTTTTTACATCATTTTATTATTTGTTACAGCCTTTCTTTTCCTCTTTTTACAACAAATCTTGTGGACGTAGCCTTCTACTTCCACATTTCTCTAAGCCTAGGCTAATCTGTTTTGGCAACTAACCTTATTCTACTTTCAGAAGTATCTAAAGTAAGTTTAAAGTCCTTTTTTAAATTTTCATGAGCACTAACTGCCCAATGCACTACCAATATTTTACGCGAGTCACCTGACTCGCTATGGTCGGAATTTATTGCCGAGTGTAAAGCCAAATAGTGGTTAGCCGTTTTATATCAACTATATAATGGATTTGATATTTAAATTTTACGTCTATAATTTTTACATCGTTGGACTTACCTAGCAGTGAAAGCGTACTTAGGAAAATGCTTACCTGCGTCCTTTATACATATATTTATTTCATATCCCTCCCTTTGGGTTAGGCAGAGACGAGAGTCTCCATTTGCTACGGTCCTTACATATATCTTTCGCCTCATCAATACGCATAAGTGCTTTCTTACATGCTATTCGGTTAAATGTACTATTGACCTGGCCTTTCTTTAAGACATCTAC